GAAATGCCATGTTTCCGGAGAAGATGTCCCAGAGGGAGTAGATACAGGGAAAACAGAAGAGGGCCAAGTATAGAACCCTGAGGTACTCCACAAGTGAGAGGGGCTACAGAGGACTCCACAGCACCAATGCGCACGCAGAAGTTTCTTTCTGTCAGATAGGATCTGAACCACTGTAGAGCAGGACCCTGAATGCCCACCCAGTTCTCCAGACGAGACAGGAGGATGTGATGGTCTACTGTGTCGAAGGCAGCAGTCAAGTCCAACAACATTAAAACTACACAGTCACCAGAGTCTGCGGCTAAAAGAATGTCGTTGAAGACTTTCAGCAGCGCAGACTCAGTGCTGTGGTGAGTTTTAAAGCCAGATTGAAACTGTTCAAGAAGGTTGTGGTCGTTTAAGTATGATGTTAACTGATTGTAAACAATTTTCTCCAAGATCTTAGATATGAAGGGCAGTTTTGAGATGGGTCTAAAGTTGGACATCACTGTGGGGTCTAGGCTAGGTTTTTTAATCAGTGGTGTCACAACTGCATGTTTAAAGCTCGCTGGTACCTGTCCACATGCCAAGCTGTCATTTATAATTTGGGACACATGAGGAGCCACGGTGTGAAAAACCTCTTTAAAAAGACGAGGTGGGATGGGATCATTTGGGGATCCAGCAGGTTTCATACGACCAGTGATGTCAGTTAAGGAAGACAGGGTGACGAGCTCAAACTGACTGAAGACAGCAGAGCGTGTGACGGAGACGGAGGGGTCGTAAGAAGGAGGGCTTATGAGAGCTCTAATGCTTGAAACCTTATTGATAAAAAAGCTCAGGAAGTTGTCACACATTTCAGTGGAGTTCTCTGGGCTGGCTGATTGTGGGGCGTTAAGAACAGAGGTGATTGTTTTAAAAAGCACACGTGGATTGCTGGAGTTGGAGGAGATGATGTCAGAGAAATATTTGTTTTTTGCAGCTCTAACAGTGGACTGATAGAAGCGCCAGCTGTCCCTCAGAGCTTGGAAAGACACCTGTAGTTTGTCCTTCTTCCACTTCCGCTCTGCTCTCCTGCACTGGCGTCTGGCAGATCGTGTGACCTCATCAGCCCAGGGGTCAGGCTTTGGTCTGGAAGCTCTTGTTTTTAATGGAGCCACAGCATCTAAAACGTTTTGACAGGCTGAGTTAAAATTAGATGAGAGAGCATCGATATCTGAATGAAGACCCACAGGGTCTGTGGGGCTGATGGCAGAACTAAAAGCTGCAGAGAACTGAGAAGCAGTGGAGGAGTTAATGACCCGACGGGGCTGTGCAGGAGCGCGAGGTTTGACTGAGCGACAGACGAGTGGCAAGTCAAACACAACAGGCATGTGGTCTGAAAAGGCAGCATCACAAACTTCCACATTAGAAACATTAAAACCGTGAGCTAACACAAGGTCTAAGGTGTGGCCACATTCTTGTGTTGGATCAGACACAAACTGAAGCAAATTAAAAGAGTCTATCAGCTGTAAAAACTCTTTGACCAACGGTTTATCAGCACAGCACACGGCGATGTTGAAATCTCCGACTATTAAGATCCTGTCATATTTAGGCAAGACTCCAGCCAAAAAATCTGCAAAGTCTGTCAGAAAGTCCTTATTGTATTTTGGAGGTCTGTATAAAACAGCACACAGTACGGGTTGTGAAGATCCGAGCTCAAACAAGTTGAACTCAAAGCTGGAATAACATGTTAAAGGTGTGATTTGTTTACAGAAATAGCTCTTCCTGTAAACAGTCGCTATTCCTCCTCCACGACCCGTCGTCCTTGGAGAGCTGAAGTATGCACAGTTTGGTGGCAGGAGTTCACAAAAAGCACTGGACTCACCGGCAGTTATCCATGTTTCAGTAATGAATAAAAAATCCAGACCACGGGAGGTGAAGAAGTCCTTCAGAATAAAGGTCTTGTTTGTTAAAGATCTAGCATTAACCAGAGCCATGTGAACATGAGATGGAGCCAGGGTGACGTCATCCATCCGAGGAGCTCTGTCCAGCAGCCGCAGGTTGTGGTGGTTCACTCCGCGGACGCGGAGGAGAGGAAAGGAGAGGCCGCGCAGCAGCGGCCCCCCACCCAGGCCAACAGCAGCCGGGGTGTGATCCGACGCAGGAGCCAGATCGGGGAGGTTGTGGTGGTTCACCCCGCGCACGCGGGGGGGGGGGGGGGGGGGGGCATCGCGCAGGTTGTCCCTCACCCAGGCCAACAACAGGAGCCAGAGAAGAGCTGATGAGATCCAGGGAGCGCCATGAGATAAAACAATTAGATGCAGCTCCAAACTCAGAGAGAGCGGATAGGGAGGACGCCAGCTGAGCTTTCAGTCTGACCAGCTGGCCGCTGCGTCTCCCGCGGCGTCTGCGCGCTCTGCGCGCTGGTGGAGCTGGGGCGCGGCACAGGTAGGCCGGCACGTCCGACAGAAATGGAGGGAAAAAAGTTTTCTGGCTGTCATTCACAAACGGAGCCAAGTTGTTAATATCGGGTCGAAGATTAAAAAGCGTTTGGCGATTATACACCAGCAGAGAGTCGACACTAGTTATAAAAGCAAAAAACAACACAAAAACAATCAAAGTATGCAGGGAGAGGCAAGCCGAACACACTGGCGCCGCCATCTTGCGTTGCGAATCATGACAGAAAGCACTTAGAATCTTTAGAATCCTTGAAAGGGCTGCCTGAAGGAAGGTCAAGACAAGTTCGACTTATTTTTGGAAAGGTAAGTTAAGCTCATACTCAGCTTGTATAGAGGCTGAACAACCCAAAACCAGAAAAGTCAACAGATTGGTTACAAGAAATTCAAGAGAAGTGCTTAAAATAAATATCAATAAGACTAGCCACACTAGTTTCCAGACCTGACACAGTGATTTGGAGATATGTTAGGTTTGCATCATTGTATGGGTTTCTTTGTATTTGGTACAATCATTTGTTTTACCCCAAAAAGGAGAGCACAATTACTTCTGACATTTCTTACTGGTAGGTAGTTCAGTGGATTTCTCCATCACTGAGGGTCTTTTCAGGGCAGGTTTAAGGGGCTTCTGGCTAACTGGACGAGATGGACTGAAGGTGGACTCCTCAGTAGAGATCTGTGCACACAAACAGAGATAAGACACAGTAACTCAAACAACATGCTTTTAAAATCTACCATTCTTTGCAACATTTTGCTAATAAAAACAAATGTCCATTCAGCAGAGTGATGAAATGTAGATAATGAGTCCAAGCAGGAAACCGAAAGGAAAAGAACGCAAGGGAAGCAAACAAGAGGTACGCCAACTTTTCATGTTGGCATTTTAAAAAATTGCTTACGTACATTAATGACTTTCAGAAGTGAAATAAAGGCTGGTTAGCTCCACATTAAACAATTTTGAGTCACTATGCATTGTGGAGCAAACAAGACTTGAGACTTCAGGTGTCCTTTAAACATAAAGTTTTTAGACTACTGTGTTCTAAAATTTAGCCCCAAATGATTTTAATCTGCTCTTAGGTACCGGTAGATATTAAAGTACTACAAAACAAGCTGATGTATCATTTTATCATCATTTACAAACACTTAAGAAATAATGTAAATCTGCATTGTGAACAGTTATCTCCCAGTTCCTTGTTCGTTTTACTCAGCTGTTTACTGCAGTGTGGTGAAAGAGAATTGGAGGGTTTGAGAGAAAAGATGATGAAGCATCAATAATTTGAGCAGGAGCAGATTTAAAGATCTTGGTTATCTTGAACTATCTAATAGGTTGTTGTTATAGATGGGTCAATAAAAATTTGGACTCCAAGAATGTTCTTACCAGAGTCTCGTTAAGTGGAACAGAAGAATGTTTGGTGTTTGTTTAGGTTGTATCTTAGTGTATATTTTAGAACCTTATTTACGGTTTCTTTTTATGCTTTATATTTGAGCTATTTTTGGGTGTAACTGGGGCCTCGAGTACATAATTTCGTTCCACCTCATCACGTGATTTGAATGACGATAAACTTGACTTGAACTTGAAAAATATCTCTGATTAAAGTTTTTAGGAGAGGAGAAAAACTCACTAAGCATCCAGTTTGATCAATTTCTTTACTTTTACAAAGTCTATATCCTCTTGATCTTGTAACTATTTACTTACATCTGCTTCTACAAACTGCAAGTTAGCTTTTCTTATTCCTAATTCAGGGGCTTCCTGCATGTTTTTTACACTGGTGTTTCCCAGCAGTGGTTTCTCACCTGGAAGCGGACCTCCTGACTGGCCCGTGTCCGTCCATCATCACTGTCGCTGTTGGACACATCAGACAGGCGTTTCTTCTCAGCAGCAGCTCGCTCCTTGACGTACTGCAGCCGTCTGCTGCGACTGAGCTGCTGGGAGAGCAGGGACTGGAGCTGGGCACGCTCGATAGAGCCCAACAGGATCATCGACTCTGGGGCAGGAGACATTGAATATGGGACATTGAGGAGGAAAGGCAAGGAAAACAAGAAGATAAAAAAGCGTGAACATTGAGCAAAACAAGGAGGTGGGAATGACAGAATAATGAAAAATATATATGTAGAAACTTTTTTAGAGTAAGAAAGAGAGCAGTGTGCAGGGAATTTAAAACGTAGCAACACTGCAGAGTTCAGCTGTGTTGCATAACAAGAACCCAAAATGCAGCAAATAGCTAGTAACCAGTGACAGTGTGCATGTGTGCGTAAGCTTGCCTTCTTTCAGTAACTGCCTTTGTGACAGTACGTGCTGATTAGATATTTGGCTAAATGCCGCAGTTCCTGCAAGACTGCATAATTGAAACGATGTCGAAATACCCAATCTGCACTTTAATGAGGTGTTCAGGCCATTAGTAAGCTGTACCCAGACAGGTTTGTCTGTCAATCAATCACTCCGATAAGCACAACACCAAGGTCAGAGGAATTATGCATTGAATTTATTGGAGGGTACATTTAATCCAACAGCACCGGCAATATTGACCGAAGACATTTCTGACACATGCAACTCCTCTTTGTCAAGGTTGCTTCCAATGACAGCACAGCTGACTGCGACCGGAAGCAAGGCTGACAAGAATGGAGATGTGGGCCAGAAAACAAGCAAAATAAGTTGTTCATTTACAACACATACCAGAGAGGAAACTCATCGAGTGTGCAGTAATAATGAGGATTACTGCTGCAAGTGACACATCCAACACAACTGGGGCGGCTGTGGCCAAGTGGTTAGAGCAGTCTTCCTCCAAGGGGAGAGTTGGGGGTTTGATTCCACCAGCAATCACACGCTGATGTGTCCCTGGGCATGACACTGAACCCCTCATTGCCTCCGATGTGTGTCCCATCGGTGTATGACTGTGATAAAGCTGTATGAATGGGTAAATGAGGCACAGATTGTGTTGTAACAAGAGTTTTGAGTATCTTGACTAGATAGAAAGGTGCTATACAAGTACAGTCCATTTATCATTTACAATGTCATTAGATCAGGTGTGAATATGCTGGTGCACATTTTTAATCAGAGCATAATATCAGTGCAGTTCAAATTAAAGATAACTAAATTTCCTTAAGGAATGTTTGGATTTTTACTGCACTTCTTGGAAAGTAGCAAAATGTCTTCAAGGATAAAAAATAAACAAGTCCATTTGCCTTCTGTTCAAACTGTTAGGTTAAATCAAATGTACTTGATACTGTACTGTGTAAAAGTATCAAGTCATCCCTTGGTTTCTTAAACTGTTTTTCCATGGCACCAGACTGTCTTGCATTCTGTAAAGTGGTCTTCTTCAAAGGTTCTCAAGGTCTGTCAAAGTTTTATTTTTTGGACTTTGATTGGTCTTCCTCTCATTTTCAAACCATTTTCAGTTCAGTACGTCACCGTTTTTGGACGAACGTTTATTTTTACTTAAACTACGTCTGGCAATTTGTTTGCAGCATGTCAGAAAGAAACACTTTTGTTCCCATTTCTTTAGCTGCATTTATTAAAAAAAAAAAAAAAAACAGAACAAAGATAAAGTTTTTAAAAAAAAAAAAATTATAATTTTTTTTTTTTACATCAACAAGGTGACTCAAAAGTTATTAACAGAACTTTACATACAACAGATGATCATCTGAGTAATGATATTTTCTTTGGGTTTTATGTCAGGTCTTATTTAGATATTGTTTGTCTTCTATAAGGTTTTGGATCTGACTGTTCTTTTGTACGTAGCTTGTCCAATATGATGTCTGGGTCAGATAGAAAGACTTTATTGAAAAATGTGTAAAAAGGCAGCCATAAACAAACAGACACACAAAAAAGCAAACAAACAAACCTAGAAAGACCTTCAAACTCCTCTGAGAACTATCAATTAAGACCACTTAAAAATACAATAAAATCCAGTACTTGAAAACAAAGTATAAAAAAAACAACAAAAAAAACCAGGTGTGGTTTAAAACATTTGCACAGTACTTTTGAACTTCAAGCTTAACAAGAGTACTTCATATGGCACATTATACACCAGTCAACAAACCGTTTACACCAACACAGAAATCTATAGTGATGGCATGGTCAAGCAAAGACTTTGTAAAACATTTGACCTTCATTTGTGACTTAGACCTTGGAGCACAAGTTCACAAACATAAACAAAAACAACCCCATCTCTTATTTGATTGTGAAGTTTATTTTTGTAGTTTGCAAAACATTAAAAGGCAGTTTGTGTTGCATGTACAGTATTTTTCTCTGAACACTATCAGGGCTATTTAACTAAACTGCTCCGGGGGTCACAGTAAGTGGAAGCCAAGAGCTCAGGGGCCGGACATCCAGCAGTTATTGTCATTAAGTTTGTTTTATGATTTAAAATCTAGTTTTATTTAAAAATGAACCCATGGGTGGGCCGAACTGAGTTCACCCGTGGGACTGATTTGGCCCCCAGCCATCAATTGAATAGCCTGCTATAGGATATGTGGTGGTGTTTTAATTTTTTCCACACAAAACCGTCTGGGCTGGGTGACAACTTGGACGTAATGTATATAAACAGGTGACGAAAACAAAGTGAGACAATGAAAACCTCTGAATTAGTTACCTCTTACACTTGCCATCTCTCCTGCTACAAAGTGAGAAAACCGTTGAACTATGACCACAACAGTATATTAAAGGAAAATGTAATCAGTTGGGACAAAGTGACAGATCACTTGAGAAGACCACCACTGGAACAGTTAATGGAGGGTGTCAGGCTGTTTAAATTGTCCTGACAAATTATGGTAGACATTTTTTGGTGTGCTGTAAGAACTGATTGCTAAATTGAGTCCCAGAACACTGTGGACAGTTTTATAAAGGTTCAGTGTGTCCACGTGTTATTTTTTAATGACAATTCAGCTGGGTTCTAACAAATTAAACTGATCGACATTATTAAAACAACTTCTGCTTTCACATAAATGGGTTGAAGAATAAGAAATACAATTATCATGGTTTTCTAACTTTCAGGACTTTAAACACTGCAGGACAAAACCATAAAGCCTTCCTGAGCTGTAGGTATCTATGTAGGAATCTCAACTTCTATAGCAGGGGTTCCTAACCCTTCTGACCTCCGGGCCTAGCTTTGGTCTAAAGTAGCTCAAGTCCCATTCAAATATTATCACTGTATCAATCTTGACTTGGTTTGTTTTAATAGCTAAATTATATCCACTTACAATTAACCAAGCAAAGATCTTGTCAAATAAGTGATCCATCCATCCATCCATCCATCCATTTTCTTCCGCTTATCCGGGGTCGGGTCGCGGGGGTAGCAGCCTAAGTAGGGAGGCCCAGACTTCCCTCTCCCCAGCCACTTGGGCCAGCTCTTCCGGGGGAATCCCGAGGCGTTCCCAGGCCAGCTGAGAAACATAGTCCCTCCAGCGTGTCCTGGGTCTTCCTCTGGGCCTCCTTCCGGTGGGACGTGTCTGGAACACCTCACCAGGGAGGCGTCCAGAAGGCATCCTAAACAGATGCCCAAGCCACCTCAACAGGCTCCTCTCGACGTGGAGAAGCAACGGCTCTACTCCGAGTCCCTCCCGGATGATCGAGCTTCTCACCCTGTCTCTAAGGGAGAGCCCAGACACCCTGCGGAGAAAACTCATTTCGGCCGCTTGTATCCGAGATCTCATTCTTTCGGTCACAACCCAAAGCTCGTGACCATAGATGAGGGTGGGAACGTAGATCGATCGGTAAATTGAGAGCTTCGCCTTTTGACTCAGCTCTCTCTTCACCACGACAGACCTGTACAGCGCCCGCTTCACTGCAGACGCTGCA